TGTGTGTGTGTGTGTGTGTGTGTGTGTGTGTGTAATATAGTAATATAGTAGCTTAACATGCTCAAATGCATGTACAGTATAACAGTCATACTCTTGTTTATTAAATATGGAATAAAACAGAACAGAATAGAAACAGCCTTTACTGTCCCAAGGAGGGATAATTCATGTGTAACAGCAGCAGTATCAGCTCCCCATAAACAATAAAAAAACTATATATTGGTATGTACCAACAGTACATACCATAGTATGTACCATAGCATAGTAATAATGGTAATAGAATAGAAATAACAATAAAAATTAAATTAAAAATAAACAAAATACTGTACATGGCAATAAAAATAAAATATAATACTGTGCAGGTGATTTACAGTGAAAGCAGTCACGACAGACTCGTGTCAAGGAGGTGTGCAGTTGAGTCAAATTAAGTCATTTCCAGCAGTGTGCATACTGTGCGTGTGTAATAAATATTGTAAATAATTGTAAAATGTTTGAAGCAAACACAAAAAGAAACATTTACCTTAGCGAGCTAAGTGCAACAGCATAAGACGCCATAAGTGGAAACTCATGCACGGTTGTGGTTTTGCTAAAAAAATTTGCTGCTGTTTATGTACTTGCAACTTCAGTAAACTCATATTTAGCTTTGTGCAGTGTGTTGTAGTGGCAACATATTAACATCCTTCATGGCAGACAATCTCTACTAAACTCAAAGGTTATAATTCTATGAACAGTATACAATAAAATATTAAATAGAATACAACCATTTTTTTTATTATTTCAACTTAAAAAGCACTCTTTAAGCAGCCTTGAGTGCTTTTATAAGTGCTTTTAGTCTTTATTGGAGGACCAGACAGAAGTCTCTATTTGGCCTGCAGGCCACCAGTTGCCCATCCCTGCACTAAATGGACTTTAATGAAACTCCAGAAAGCTATAATTGAATATGACAGGGCTACCACTTCCCTTACTATAGAGAACCCAATCTGAGTTTAAATGTATCGGTTTCACAGTTGAGATAAAAGTTGTGGTAATAGTTAAAGGCACAGTGTGTAGGATTTGTTGTTTTCAGCAACATCTAGTGGTTGAGTGGTTGAATCATCCTCCCTGGTCCTCCCCCCACCCCCAACCCCCCGCTGAGTTGCTACGGTGTCTCTCAGGTGTCAAAAACCTTTGATAATTCCAACCGCGATGTCTACCAGCAGCTTCAGGGCTAGTGATGTTTCAAGTGGTAAGATTATGAGCTTTAATAAGTAAAATTATCCCAGCTACAATGACAGACAACAATTATGGCAATATTTATTTCTCAAAGACAGAAATACGTGGTCCAAGAATGAAGGTACTCCGTAAGAT